GGGACCACAGGCGCCCGCCACAACGCCCGGCTATTTTTTTGGTTGCAGCCTGTTTGGCAGGTCCGGGCTGGGGACTCGAACGGACCACCTTAGGTGTACGTGGCTGGCGCCCCAGCCGGCTGAGCTATAGGCGCTGAGCCTTGTTGGCCTCTTTTAATCTGCATCCTATATTTGTGAGGACTATAAAGAAATCAGTTTACCTTGGTGGAATATTCTTTTGGGCAGCCCATGTTGACATCAATACCAGCTACATCATTTTCTCTGGAAAAGGGTGAAGGAGAAAAGGTAATAAACATTAAATTTAAGGAAAGAGGGTAGAATAAAAGGCATGGATGGGTCTGTGCTCATGAATATCCAACCATGTCCTAGCCCCATGAAACATACCAACCTCAGTGACAGAAGATGAAAAACAGGAAAGAAATTTGTCCCTAAAATGTGCAACTGCCTCATCTGAGCACAGTTCCAGAGGAAACACACAATTTGTGCACACATCCACAGTGGGCTAGATGTAGATGACTTTGCTACCATAAAGTTGTATAAAATAATTCAAATGCTGAGGATGGGTACATTGAACTTCATTCCAGAGCTACTGTTTTTTGATTGAGGTAGTAAAAGCCATTGTCAATGCAGAAAAGTGACATGAGCACAAGAGCCCTTCCCCAGAGAACCAATTCTGGTATAAGTTATAAGACTGCCTCAGTTGGCTGGGCTACACAGTTGGCTGACTGCAAACAATTTTTCAGATGTAACAAGGGCTTTGCTCCATCCGCTAGCATATATATTGCTAATAGTTTGTGATCAGCAGCAATTACAGCCTGAGTTCCTTCTCGTTGTTATTGTAAATAACAACAATAGCTAACACTAAGCACTCACTATGTGCCCTATTCTGCAAAGTACAATTACACGCATTATTTCATTTACTCTTCCCTATGCCAGAGATTGGTAATTATTTTATTTTGTTTTATTTATTTTCTCCTTGAAATGGAGTTTCACACTGTAATCCAGGCTTGAGGCAATGGCATGATCATAGCTAACTCAAACCTCAAACTCCTGGTGGCACCTGTGGCTCAAGGAGTAGGGTGCCAGCCCCATACACCAGAGGTGGTGGGTTCAAACCCAGCCCCGGCCAAAAAAACCAAAAAAAAAAAAAAAAAAAAAAACCAAAAAAACAAAAACAAAAAACCTCAAACTCCTGTGTTAAAGCAATCCTCCTGCCTCAACCACTCGAGCAGCTCGGCCTATAGGCTCATGCCACCATGACCAGTTAACTTTTTTATATTTTATAGAGACAGGTTCTTATTATGTTGCCTAGGCTTGTCTTGAATTACTGGCCTCAAGTGATCCTCCTGCCTCAGACTCTTAGAATGCTTACAGGCGTGAGCCACTGTCCCCAGTGAGTACTGACTACTATTTTATAGATGAGGGAACTAAGTTTTGGCAATACTAAATAACATATGTAAGGTCACACAGTTAACAAAGTACAGAGCCAGAATTCCAGCCCGGGTCTATCTAACCATCAAGTCTGTCACTTTTACCATAGTACTCTCCTGCCCTTGTTAAGTCAGTAAACAATAAGTCTTACATATACTTCATGAGAGTTAAAGTCTCAAGACTCACAGTCATGACAGTGTCATGAATAAATACCAAAAAGCAGCCAACACCACCCCACAAGAGTCTCAGGGATTTGGGCACTGTGTGGACAGTCCTTGTATGCCACAAACAGAGAAGGAAACCAGACATTATTAACCTAGAAACAGAAGGTAATGGGCTAGGAAGCAAAAGGGTGGGTCACCTCTAAGGTTACCAGTAACATTAGGGCCTCACAGCTCACCAGAGAAATAACAGCAGTCCCAAAGATGGAGGAACTTACACAAGCCTGGCCACAGCAAGGGCTCGCTCTGCATCTGATGTTCCCTGGGAACACAAGAGGCTGCATCAACTACTGCCCTGACGCAGGTACACATGCAAAAACACATCGTGTATATCATACATATATACACATACACAAATGCCAGTAGTGAAGTCAGGTTGGCTTTCTTTTATACAGCCAGGCCACTGCACTAACTCACTGCCAGAAGAGAAAGGTGAACTTGCAGGACCCAGAAAATGTCATGAATATTGTGATTACATTCAAACATAAGAAAAGTTGAAAATTTTTTTAGTGAATATTCAGATACCTACCACTTAGATTCTACAACATTTTACTATATTTCCTTTACCACATGGCTACCCATTGTTACCAATATTTTAAAAACCTAAACATCATTCTGCAGCTTTTTTTTTTTTTTTT